ACATTAACTACTGCAACATACCATAGACACATAATATACCATAAATACACGCTTTGGTCATCGGCAGGTTTAAAGATCTCCAGATACAAATGACATCAAATCTTGTAAAGAAGATATTTTACAGCATATAACTTATGGATATCATCCTGTTGTGTTTAAATCAGAGAGCAGTACATATGGATGAAAGCCAGCACCCAAAGTCAACAGTCTTAACTCTTAAAGTCTTAAAGCAATCTTAATTGCACTTTCATAATTTACAGGGTTTTTTTAAACTAAAGTTTTCATTTGTATGGTCTTGTCTGTGTTGAATCTGTCTATGAATATTTGACTAGCCTTTTCATTATTTAAATAGAAAAGATGATGCCATGCATGTTTTAGCACTTCCAAATGTTTGTTCACTTCCTTAATATTTGAATAAAGACTGGAGAAGAAGCAAGCTTGCTCTTAGACCAGCAGAGTTTTACACACAGTTACGCTGATGGATGCTCTGATTTTACAGTCACAGGCAGATCTTCTCACCTTTACTGCGTTGTGCGTCCCTCTCACTGCTTTCATCTTCCTCAGCGGAGGATGAAGATGCTATGACTAGCACCTGGAGATGAAGGACGAGGAGTATATCAAGCAGCATGCTGACCTCCGCAGCACTAGAGTTTTCCACAGGTATCTTGGTGTTGTTTCTCATTCACACACAGCATCTCAGCCTCTGCTTTAGTGACTCAGGGGTCTGCCGACTGGGGCCGGGCTTCACAGAACAAACCAATCACAATGCTCAAGCTGCTCAAGGTTCCAGGACATCTCTCTCTCTCTCTCTCTCTCTATTTCTTAGAGTTAGAGTGTAACCAAATCTGTCACTCTCTCATAAACGAAATGCCTCCCTCTTTCCTTGATCAAAGTTCAGTGGGAATAAGCTACAAACTGCGTAGCTAATTCTGTTAAAGCAAACACTGTAAAAAATCAAAAGTTGAGAAAACTTAAAAGTTTAAGGCAACCAGCTTCAGGAGATTTTTGAGTTTTCTCAACTTTTTGTTGTATAAACTGAAAACAACAAAAAGTTGAGAAAACTCAAAAATCTCCTGAAGCTGCACTCTAAAAAATGCTGGGTTAAATACAACTCAGCGCTGAGTGAAATATGGACAAACCCAGCTATTGGGTTGCTTTGACCCAGCGGTTGGTTTTAAATGTTTAACCTAACCTTCTGGGTAGTAACCCAACCGCTGGGTCAAAGCAACCCAATAGCTGGGTTTGTCCATATTTCACTCAGCGCTGAGTTGTATTTAACCCAGCATTTTTTAGAGTGTAGTTGAAGACGTGACTCTTTTTCCATATTTAATAGTCTAAAATTTGAGTGTTCTAGTTTCTACAAACTAGAAAAAAGTAACATCCGAATGTTTTTTTATTTATTCAACAATTTCTACAATTAGTAATGTGCTTTTCTCAATACTATTTTTTCAAACTCTTTACACAGATGTCTTACAACATACAGATAGCACCAAGTTTTTGTTTTGTTTGTTTGTTTGTTTGTTTGTCAAAGAAACCAGAATTCCTTTGCAAAACAAGAATGATTTGTCTTTTTGCATAGTGAAAGTCCAACAAACAAAAAAAACTAAATTAAATGTCAATAAATAAGACATTGCATTTTTTGCGATAACCAAATTTAATAAACAATATCTGAATATTTATCAAACTATTTCACTGGTTTTCATCCGGTGTAAAACCAGTGTCAAAGAAACTATAGATGATCTGTTATGGTGACCTCTGATGGGAGCAGACGAAAGAAGAAAAAGGAAGAGAACATTTCACTGAGTGCTTTAAAACGTTTTTCTTGTCACTTCAGTGGACCTCTAATTCTAATCCAGGTTAACATTATTTACTGAGTTTGTAAAGAACGAAAATTACAGAAATGATAGAAAGCATTTAGAATTATCCACCAGTGTAAAAAGTACATCATAGACAGATCTTTTTGAAAATTAAAAACACTAAGTTTGTGTTGTAATTGTAAGAGTTGAGTGGGTTCGGCTGTAAGTACAGTGTATGGCTGTCTAAAATTAAATGTTTTGATTAAAGAATAGCATTTCTTTTGCAGTATCTATAAGGATATAAATCCAGTTTACTGGTGACCAAGCTGTCATTCACAGAGAGGTTCTTATCAGTCATCAGTTCAAAGATTCTCACCCTGTTAAAAGATCTAGTGGCCACCAAAAGAGCGAGTAACGCCACGTTCAACTGTTTTGGTGAACAGAAAGGAGTGACTTCAAAATGCCCCGTCATCACCCAGATCAGCTCTCAGAGTCTCAGCTAACCAGCCGATGAGTTGAATCAGCGGTGTTTGATTAGGACTAAGATTGAAACGCTGCAATCCAAAAGCAAATAAAGGAGTCCAAATCTGTCATGACTGCAAACAGTAATGCATCAGCATCCCTTACTCAAGCTCTAATGGTGGTGCCACATACACATTCAATGAACCAGAAAGACGTGACCTCAGTGCTGTTGGTGTTCATAATGTAAGTGGACTTAAGGGGGGACTTTTTCTGTGCTCTTAACACTGACAGGCCTTCAATTCTCCCCAACCCTTCACTTTTTGAGAAAGGAAAAACTTGAATAATATGTTGAGGATTTCTAATGCAATTCTCTCTCCAGATATCAGTATGTGCATGTGAAAAATCTTGTTTTTGACGGAAGCTGGAAGCTATCGATGGCAAGCCTCAGTACTTCTGCCATACGAAATGTTTTCACCTTCACATTATACTAATCAATCAAACCACAAAAGGACCCATGAACAAACTGTACATGGGTAACGTTCTGAGGTGGTCTGAGTACATGTCCTCATCTGAGATGATTTGAGGTATTCACATACACATTATATCAGCCTGAGAATGCTTGAAGTGCTCACTAAGGGTAAAAACTTCCTATATGAAGGGTAATTGTTCACAAATTCAAATCGGTCTAGTATGTGGCAAGAAGGAAATCAACATTTGTGATAATTACATAGCCAGAGATATCAAATCAATACAATACATCAAATTCTCAAAGATGAATCTGAGAGTAAGACGCATACCTGACTTTAGAAAAGTACATAATAAAAAGTGCCTGGACACACTTCATACTATGGGCTCGTTCTGACTACAAAAAAAGTCCTGATCTTCTTACAAGATTTCCTTAAGTACTCAGACCAAGACAAGCATCCCTCAAAATGGAGACAGGAACTAACAATTGGAATTTGCATTGATCAAGTAGGGTTAACACCTTTGGGACAGAAGGTCATTTGCATGATAGACACTGGGAAATGACACACCTTCTACAGCAATCAACTTATCTCCAAACTCTTAGGATCTGTATTACCTTCTTCTAATCTTGATGGCTGTCTGTCCTATTGTTAAGATAATGAGACCTTTTTACCAGACACACAGAGACCTTTCAAACAAGAACAGTTGCATTGTTATAAACTCTGATCAAAAAAAACAAAAAAAAAAGTGGTTTCGGTGATCTCTGTAGAGTCGTGTGTTTAGATGGAAATGAGGGCAGAGCGAGTAAAGGAAGTGGATGTGGAGAATCATACATAAGGTGTGAAACTTTTGTGTTGTCTTGAACGAGGTTATTAGGCTTATGTCAGAGTTCAGATGTTGATCCTCGTAAGAGTTCGGTCTCTTTTCAGACTGTGGCCCTCCTCTGGACCAGACAAATAGCATCAGCCTTACAAAGAACTCACTCAGCTTTTATTGGGAATAACAGTCAAGTCCACACTCTAAAAAGTGCTGGGTTGTTTCAACCCAACGCTGGGTCAAATATGGACTAACCCAACCGTTGGGTTAAATTTTTACATTACATTTTTAACCCAAAAGTTGGGTTAGTCCAAATTTGACCCAAAGTTGGGTTGAAATAACCCAGCATTTTTTAGAGTCCATCATGGGATGTCCCTATAGTGAATGTCTAATAAACAGTCTAACGTCGTAACCTCATGTGTCAGTCTGAAGAGTGAACAGACCAGAGTCCAAAAGGTTGAACACATATTCAGAACCTTGGCACAAACTCTGGGCAGAGCACAACACAGACAGGCCAAAAGAAAGACAAAGCTGAGATATATCACTTCACACATAGGTGGCACAAGACAGCAAACAGAAGCCTAAAAAATAAACAAGAATCAAATTCAAACCAGGTGCCACAGATGAGGTGTAATCAGGCTAATACTCCTGAGAGAGGAACCCCATCAGCCAGGGCTGCGTTTCCCAAAAGCATCGTAAGTACGTAGACCAGGGGTGTGCAAACTTGGCCCTTCCAGGCCACTTTCCTTCAGAGGTTAGCTCCAACCCTAATCAAACACACCTGAACCAGTTAATCATTGTCTTCAAGACTACTAGAAGGCTACAGGCAGGTGAGTCATATCAGGGTTGGATCAAATCTCTGCAGGAAAGTGGCCTGGAAGGGCCAAGTTTGCCCATCACTGATGTAGACCCACTAAAACAGGGGTGGCGAACGTCGGTCCTGGAGAGCCGCAGCCCTGCAGAGTTTTGCTTCAACCCTAATCAAACACACCTGAACAAGCTAATCAAGGTCTGAAGGGTTACTAGAAAGCTACAGGCAGGTGAGTTTTAATTAGGGATGGAGCTGTACTCTGCAGGACTGCAGCTCTTCAGGACCGGAGTTCGCCACTGCTGCACTAAAACCAATGGAGCTACGATCAACTTAGGCTTACGATGCTTCTGGGAAATGCAGCCCAGCATGAGGCACCTGTCAAAATCCAAAACAAAACATGAGGGAATAAGAGCCAGACAAAACAGCACTGGGGTCATGACAGGATTTTAATCAGGGTCCACTAGAAGTGGAGGTTGATCCAGATCAGGGATGGGCTACTCTGGTACAGAATCACACTGTTGCTGGGGGGTCTACTCCTGCTCCTGCAGAGTTTAGCTCCAACCCCAGTTAAACACACCTGAACCAGCTAATCAAGGCATTTAGGATCACTTCCAGGCAGAGCTCTGCAGGACACTGGCCCTCCAGGAGCAGGAGCAGACACCCCTGCACTATTGTCAACACTACCTTATATCAGGTAAATACTGCGACCATACATTGGACAAGCAGTTAGAGCAGGGGTTCTCCAACCACATGCCTGGAGCCCAAACACATCTGATTCAGCTCATTAGTACAGACTCCAAGACCTGAAATGGGTGTCAAATAACACTCTTATAAAAATAAAGATGCTTAAAAGGTTCTTCACAGCGATGCCACAGAAGAACCATTTTTGGTTCCACAAAGAACCATTCAGTCAAGAACCGTCTCTTTCTTATCTTTTTATAATCTGAAGAACCTTCTTTCGCCACAACTAAACAGAAAGCTTCTTTAGATGTTAGTTAAAGGTTCTTTATGGAACCATTTAGACAGAAAGGTTCTTCTATGGCATTGTGAAGCACCTTTATTTTTAAGAGTGAAAGGAGAGATGTGCAAAATGTGTGGTTTTGGGGGGGCTTCCGGAACATGTTTGAGAACCAATGGATGAGTCGTCATTCACTGCATGGACATTTCTGAGAACTCAATAACTGCAGATGCTCAATTACCACATTTTAGCCCATAATGCTCATGTTCAGCAGAAATACAATACATAAAGTCGTTAAAGTCTTTGGGCTGAAAACCTTTCTGTCTTTACAGGGTGACCAATACTTGTCATTTGCCGTCAAGTGCAATATATGAAGCAAAATAATATTCTTTCAAGTGAATTTGAAACTAGTACAAAGCACGGCCTGCCTTGTAATCCCATTGTGAAGCACCTTTATTTTTAAGAGTGAAAGGAGAGATGTGCAAAATGTGTGGTTTTGGGGGGGGCTCCAGGAACATGTTTGAGAACCAATGGATGAGTCGTCATTCACTGCATGGACATTTCTGAGAACTCAATAACTGCAGATGCTCAATTACCACATTTTAGCCCATAATGCTCATGTTCAGCAGAAATACATTACATAAAGTCGTTAAAGTCTTTGGGCTGAAAACCTTTCTGTCTTTACAGGGTGACCAATACTTGTCATTTGCCGTCAAGTGCAATATATGAAGCAAAATAATATTCTTTCAAGTGAATTTGAAACTAGTACAAAGCACGGCCTGCCTTGTAATCCTCATTATATAAAAACTCCTCTGAGAGAAATTTTAATGAGTAACTTCTGTCATGTCAATTACAAATGAGATGTGCAAGGAATCCAGCTGACAAAACAATTCTGTCCAATGAGCTGGAATGTGTTACAATCATTAGCCTGAATGATTTGAAACTGTTATTTAATTTATTTCATGTTTAAGTATCTTGTCAATAACATTGTCGGAACATTCCAAGATAAAGTTCAGCCGTGAATAAACACAACAGGAACTGACTGCAGGATTATTCCACAATCCCTGGAAATTCCCATCTTTTCGTGGAGTCCTAATATTTATTAGCAGAGCTGCAGTTCTCCAGTAGTGTTCAACACCACATGATCCAATGATCACACACTTATGAAAGTGTATTTTCTGATGTGGCGCACTAAAATTACAGTACAGTAAAATTTTCATTCAGCAACTCCTAGGGCAATTTGAAATGTTAATGATTCATCATTTAATCTGTCACAGATGCTGTCCATCTATCCATTCTCCAAAAGAGACTCGTAGACTATTCACAAACTGGGGGGAAAAACAGGATGAAGTTGGCAAATCTACAGTACCGCACGTGTTTTTGAGTCAAGAGTCTCGTGCATAGTCAGTGATGCAATAGGGAAGGCAGCAGAATCCTTATCGACTTGGTTCACTTCTCGTTGAAAGAGAATGTTTTTTTTTTTTTAATGTGGAAAGGCAAAATAGACTATCACTCTTTAAGAAAGTGTCTTTATTTATGAAAAAATTAGAAACCCCCCCCCCCCCCCCCCAAGTTAAAATAGACTGGTTTTCACTGGACAGAGAAAGACATTAATCGTGCTTACATTAATGCTGGTGAGATGCATATCCCACATCTGCTGAAAAATGTAGACGAAGTTCTCATCCAATGTTTCTGAAAAAAGTCCTGTCTAAAAAAAAGAGTCAAATAGGATTCTGCCAAGAGATGGAATAACAGCACTTCTGAATAGAGTTTAGTTTCATTTAGAGCTTTGCCCTCTTCTCCAGATGACATCTGCTGGTCAGAAGTTTGCAGCTTCTTCTGCTTACTTCACAGCATCAACAACTGACAGGTGAGTCGAATAATAATTATACTGATACAATGGCATCTGTCAAGGGGATACATTAGGCAGCAAGTGGAAAATGGGCAAGCAGAAGATCTGAATGACTGACAAGAACTAAACAGATCCTCACAGCATCAGAGCATCTTCAAAACAGCAAGTCCTGTGGGGTGCTCCCAGTATGCAGTGGTTACCAAAAAAAGCCTAAGGAAGGTCAACCGGGTTGTGGGTTATGGGCCTCGATTTTTGATTATCAGCAAAGACTTCTGAAAATGACAAGTAACATTGTCAGTGATACTTGGTTCACTTCTCGTTGAAAGAGAATGTTTTTTTTTTAATGTGGAAAGGCAAAATAGACTATCACTCTTTAAGAAAGTGTCTTTATTTATGAAAAAATTAGAAAGAAAAAATGACAATACAAACCATAGATAATGTGGTTAAGCAAATCATGTTGCATAATTGTAAATCAGCTTACCACAGATATCAGTGCCATTTCACAGAGAAAATATTAATATAGTATAGTAACCATGTGGAGGGTGGGGAAAACCTGGGCAGCAGCTGAAGCATGATAAAAATATCAATGAACAGAAAATAAACAGCTTGACAAAACAACTGAAGACATCATTTAAGGGAAACATGGATGAAATGTCATTTATCAAACTGCAAATCCAACATCAATGTCAAACTGAGCAAAATGACAATACAAACCATAGATAATGTGGTTAAGCAAATCATGTTGCATAATTGTAAATCAGCTTACCACAGATATCAGTGCCATTTCACAGAGAAAATATTAATATAGTATAGTAACCATGTGGAGGGTGGGGAAAACCTGGGCAGCAGCTGAAGCATGATAAAAATATATCAATGAACAGAAAATAAACAGCTTGACAAAACAACTGAAGACATCATTTAAGGGAAACATGGATGAAATGTCATTTATCAAACTGCAAATCCAACATCAATGTCAAACTGAGCAGACATTTGGTGACTGAGGACTTGATAAAGTATATAGTGCTTCAATGCGTCTTCCTGCTTTTGGACGAGTAACGTCAACCCTGTCTGTACAGTACCAGTCATGTGACGCTCTGAAAGCATGCTTTTTGAGCAGCTTCTTATATTTGCTTTATGTTTAACAGCAAAAATGGCAAACAACGAACACTGAGCCATAGAAATTCAACATACAGCTGGACCGATTATTATTGTAACATCTGAATTCACAATGAAACAAGAAGAGCAGAATACACACTTCAGGGACTCCGAACCAAACTACTGTTAAGTGTGTTTCAGACAAAACGAGCAAGTTCACCAAGAAACACTTCTCTTTAATGACAAAATGATGCACTCATGATTGCGCACACGTTTTAGTATAAATATAAAGTCTAAAAAGAACTCAAGCTAACAGCATTCCAGATCCAGATTAATAGGAACTGACATATGTGTGTGAAAAAAGGAATTATTTGGATTTATCTGTAATCTTGGTCCAACACACAATGCATCTCGACTAACAGGTTTACAGCGCAGAAGATACACTTGTAGATCTTAAGGAAATTTGCTGCGTCAAATCTTTTAAAAACCAGAGGCAGTACAGCAGATCTTCAGGACTCGAAGCAGGATTTCATGATGGCCTCTCTGTCAAATCTGAAGCTGAGAAAAGAGCGCGAGGAGAGGATGTATTCCCCGTAACACAAGTCTGCCTGTCCGTTACAGCCATAGACGTCACCAGATGCATCTGCAAAAACAATTGTAGAATGACTGAAAAATATTGTCCACAGCTGTTGAAATTCATGCACAAAATTATTTGAAGAATAAACATAAGGTGTGATCAAAGGCAAAAAGGTCACACAGCGTTCAAAAAAAAAAAAATGGAAAAATCGTTTGCAGAAGGCAGAAAAATGCCCAAACGGTTTTTTCTCAGTCACATGGCCTTCTGCCACACATAGGTATCTAAATGTAAAAAAGTGATAGCCTGATAAAACATCTGATCTTACCTTTTAATACTCAAAAAAATAAAAAATAAAAAATCATTATTTGTTGCACCACTGGCTTGGTTCAATATCCACATTTTTGATGATTGTTTGGGATTTTCTCTTTTACAAAGTGGAAATTCATAACTATTCCAAAAAAAAAAAAGAATAAAAAAAATAAATTAATATTACAAAATAAAAAGGCTGGACCTACTGGAACTTTATTTTAATACCCTTGTTACTATACAATACATTATAATATTGTAATATTTGAAACGTTAATGTAAATGTAATATTTCATAGTCAATTTAATACATAAATAAGTGGGCTCTCTGTATGACCAGTCAGTCTTAGGGCCCCACACTTAATGAGCATTAAGTTCAGCCTTCAGATAATCAACAAATAATGTGAAAGAACTAGAATTAGTCTAGTGGCTCATATTTGACAATTGCAACCCTTTTTAAGAAGTGCACAACCACTCAAATATTAAATTCAGTTGTTATTGGATAGACTAGCCATCCTGGTCCATCCCTGCTATAGTGTTTAAGCACCATAATTCTACTGCACTACTAGCGCTGCAAAACATAACATCTTCACACACGTGAAAATGCGATGGTGAATGCTTTCTATAGTGAGAATAATCGCACCGGAATGGTTTGCAAGGTGTGCTGCCATTGGACGCAAAATCCTCATCGCTGCTCGTTGACTCTCCTTTGTGTTTGGCAATCCACTCTCTGAGCTGCCTGCAGATGAGCACATTACACCTCACAGTCATATTCAGTCATGAATATGGATCACTCTAGAACATCATTAATGAGAAGATGTACCTCATAAATGGAATAGCCATAAAAAACTTGTTAGGAGCCAGTCCAAGCTTGGATTTCGGGGTCATATCGTTCCTGTGGCAAGGCAGTTTATCCACTGAGAACCATTCAATGTTCTATCAGGAACCAAAAGAGCAGAGAAACACAATCAGAGCTTTGTACAATCAAACACATGTGCTTCTATAGAGCATTAAAATGTATACATACCCTTATCTCTTTTCTGGTCTTGGGGTTGAACTTGGTGTCGTTAGGAACTCCTGGTATAATGTACAATCGAACCAACTGATCTGAAATCCTCTGCTCAATGTATGTTTTCTGGCAGATACGATCTCGGATATCAAAGCCCGTCTCCTCCAAAACCTGCAGAGAAATCAAACAACCTTAACAGTGGTTTTCATTAAACCAAACCAACATTTATATCTTGAAAGCGGCATACTTCTCTAACGGCGCAGTCATGGAAAGCCTCATCTTCATTGACTTTCCCTTTAGGAAAACCCCAGCCAGACTTGGCCAGATAACCCTGGACCATCAACACCTTCAGGTAAAAATAAAGAATGAATACATGAAGGTTTCTGCACCCCTTTTTAAAAAACGCATAACAGTTTATGATGCTTCCAAGCAGCTGTATACTTACATTGTCAAGCGTTTCATCAAGAATAATGGCACCAAACGTAGGCACACCCATCTTATACTCTTTCCACTGCTCTAAAACCTTCTGAACATCCTCTCCATGGGGCAGCAGGAATGGACAGTGATTAAAAAGTGATCATAATGTTAAAGAGACACACAGAGAGAAAGAAACCACAAAAACATTGCCTTTTAACCAGTTTCTGGGCATCCCAAATTGTCCCTCCGTAACATTTTTGTATCGATTTCAATCGTTGACGAAAAGGTCAATAGATTTTTATCACTCAAAACTTGTTAGTTTTAGTCTCATTTTCGTCTGGAAAACAAATGTTGTTGAAGAAAACACAAACATAATGAACACTGCTGACAATTCTCAATTATCCAGAGTTAATAGCTATGTTACTGCAGTATCCATGAGACTTTAAAATGCTCAGGGTTGCCAGGTTTCCATAAATCCAAACAACCCAATCTGAGGTTCAATCCTGCACATTTCGGAAACATTATACTTTGCATAATCTGACAATAAAGATCACACACTCATGCAGCAAAGTTCTCCCTTAAATCTTTAGTTTGTGCACCACTTTCAATGACGGATGCATTACATGAACAATTAAGGTGGTGACGCACACTTTAAGAATTTGATCACAATTTAGAAGGCATTTTGGTTTAAGGCCCATTCACACCAAGGACGATAACTATAACGATAAAGTTCTAAAAATCGTTCTGCTATAACGAGCTGGAGAATTTAAAGCAGCAGACGAGCGTGCGCTTAGAATAAACAGACGATATCGTCCGCTGGTGTGGACGCTAATATAGTTATCTATATATTTATCATTCTTGGTGTGAACGGGGCTTTACTGTGTCAATTGCAGGTCCTGATGTCTCTAATTGTTCATTTCCCCATCTTACATAGTCGTGCTAAAACTACTGTATATATATATATATGTGCTTGTCGCCTTGAAGAGTGTTTGAACTATTAGTTAGATGTTTTTGAAGTCATTAATAGATTTGCATGAAGAGGAAAAGGTAAAGTTCTGTGGGATCATGAGGTTCCTTTTTGTTGCAAATTAGATTTTCTGTATATTTGCTATAAACGCCAATACATAAAGTATTCAAAAGAAAGATCATGTGCCCTTTCAACTGCTTTTCCGTTATTTGTTTTTCTGAATCGTGCAGTACTTTAGCTCAACTTATGTTGCTTTTTAAATGAGCTAAAAGTGTGTTTTGGGGTATGTGGATCTCTCCAGTGCAATATTCTGCTCAAAGAAAAGCGTAATATGGCGTTCAGTCACAAGGCAACTTGTGCAATTTGGTGCAAGCTAAATTTTTCAGTGACATAATAATGAATCACCACCATTGATAATTGCTCTAACTTTGTAGATCAAGAAGGAATCAGCTCAAATATCCAATCAGTTTAAACACTTCAGAAACACTGTGCGTGAGTAATGGGGATTTTCTCTTTCTGCAGTGCTGAAAACCTTTCCCACCGCTTTTCTAAGGCTACTGAACACTCGACAAACTCAGTACTCTCTCTCAGAAAGTATGCTAGTAATATAAACAGATCTCTTTAGGATATCAGCCTTGGCAAAGTCTCTTATCCCACACTGAGGTAGTCCTGTTGAATTTTGCATGCAGAAGTCCAGGTAAAACCAATGGGCAAGCTCAATCTGGAAGCAAACTCTGATGGCATTGTCCCTCTCCTCGCTGGGGATGTGAAGAATGAAGCGACTACAAGACAAAGCACAGAAAGCACTGAAAACATGAAGCCTGCATCATGAGTCAACAGCACATTTAAGGATGATTCATGTTCAACACAATGGACTACTTGCATTGAGCTTTGTGACATGACTCAAAGCATTTTAAATAATGTGGCACACTAGTTTTCTTAAGAACTCAATCATCCAACAGATCTAAGAATAAGGTAACCTTAAATAGTAATAATAACCTGCACTCATTTTGTACCTTCCACTAGCTAGGGATCAGCTACAGACAAAAAAAATAAAACCTCTGCTGTGCATGCGGTTATTGCGAGTTTCATTGCGACTATCCTCTTACATTATCATTATGCGCTGTTCCACAACCAGTGTCATGAGTCAGGGAGTAGGGCTGGGGATCATTCAGATATCCCGATTTTTTTTATTGCATTCAGTGAATATAGTTTTAATACAACAGCTATTGATATTTCTAAAAACTTAACCGTAAACATCAGTTTACAAATGGTGAATTAATAAAAAGAAATTAAGAACCACATGCCTGTATTTTAAACCTATACTTTTTTCTGTATGGGTCCTTTTAAAAAAAAAAAATTATAGGGACCTATAAAATGTTCTTAATTTTTCTGGTAATCAGATAGAGGCATAAAACATTAATTTAATTTATCCTAATCAAATGAAAATTAAACCCTTTTATTTTTTGGCAAAGAAAGTGCTGCACAACAGAGGTTTACTGTTAAAATGAAAAAGAAAACGGATGTGATTATTCCTTTAAGAATAAAGATGTATTAATATTTATTAGCAGTAGTAGCATTGATTCTTAAGACTGCTCAATAGTAATATATTCTGACAGTTTCTTAACGTTAAACAAAACTTTTATTTTGACGGGTTGCCGTGAGGAACTTGCAGCTGCTGTGTATGTGATATGACGGTAGATTTCTCAAATGAAACGGTAAAATGCTAATGAAGTGACACTCAGAGCAGCTGGAGATGACATTCGTGTTCATTTCATCATATAGTGAGACGGCAGAAGCTGAAAACACCGCGAGCGTCATACGAGCTTTAGTATGTGTAGTAAACAAAACAGTGCGCCGCGCCATTCATTCATTCATTGCGGAAATCACGACGCCTTATGCGTGATATCAGATGCTTCCGCAGGTTTATAGTATTACTATAGCACTTCACCTGAGCATCGCGAATCACGCGGATGGCCATGATGAGCGCTGAATGAATGACAGGATTTCTGTTGTAACATCGCACAAGGTAAATAAGGGGGACATCTAGTGGAGAAGACTAATGATAAGATTCACGTTAATCAGATCTTGTTTTAAATGTGTGCTGAAATAAATCCCGGAAAAGATCGATTTGCGGCTTTTGAGAATCAATATCAAATCATTTAAAAAAACGATTAATCGAAAAATCAATTTTTTCATACAAGCACTCAGGATTCAGTGCTTGGTTTTAAGCATCACATCGAAAATGAAAGTGCATATTTATATGAAAGTTCATTTTTGTTCATAGTTGATTGCGTAAACTCAGAAACAAAGCTTTAACCGTATTTAGTGAGACCGTGAGCAAAAGTAGGCAGAAGCCATTCTTATTACACCTACACTACAGTTTGAAGATGTATGCTCATTCAGTCTTTTATTAAATATTTGTATTTTTAGCCGTCCATCCATTAAGCATCACAAACAGAAATAGACCTTTAACAATATCTTGTCAACAACCGCTCTTAAACAGATAATTCAGCAAAATTGACGGAATATAATCTTTCATTAAATATAATTCTAATATAACATAATATTATGAAAAAATATATATTTATTAATGTCTGATTTACTGATCACGTATAACCGTATATGGAGAAAAAGCACAAAGATAATGTTAAAGAATCCATAAAGGATCTGCAGTTTATGCGAGTTCATTTTCGTTTGCAATGTTAATGAGGTTATTATTATTATTTATTATGGGATTAAATAAAACATTTAAAACGTATTTTTAAGTAAGCATCCAATACAAGGTATCAGTACAGCAAGACAAATTGCATTTTTGCATTAAAAATAATAATTTACATACAATGTATTTGCCATTTCTACTCCGCATTTACAAAACAAAATAACACTTTATTTTAAGGTGTCCTTGTTACACGTTACATCTTCTTACTATTATGATAACAATAAATGATGCATAATTGCACGCAAGTAACCCTAACCGTAAGTACTAGTGCTGTCAAATGATTAATCACGATTAATCGCATCCAAAATAAAAGTTTTTCTTTACATATGTGTGTGTGCTGTGTATATTTATTATGTATATATAAATACACACACACACACAAAATATTTACATTTATATATTTATATTCTTATATTTTATACTACATATTGAACATATAAACAACATTTTTTTATTAAGTACTGTATATACATGCATGTGTGTGTGTTTATATATACATAATAAATATACACATATATTATGTAAACATAAACTTAATTAATATTACTCAGTATTTAAAGGTATACTTACACTGTAACAAGGACACCTTAAAACAAAGTGTAACCAACAAGTTACACGTTACATCTTCTTACTATTATGATAACAATAAATGATGCATAATTGCATGCAAGTAACCCTAACCGTAAGTACTAGTGCTGTCAAATGATTAATCACGATTAATCGCATCCAAAATAAAAGTTTTTCTTTACATATGTGTGTGTGCTGTGTATATTTATTATGTATATATAAATACACACACACACACACACAAAATATTTACATTTATATATTTATATTCTTATGTTATACTACATATTGAACATATAAACAACATTTTTTTATTACGTACTGTATATACATGCATGTGTGTGTGTTTATATATACATAATAAATATACACATATATTATGTAAACATAAACTTAATTAATATTACTCAGTATTTAAAGGTATACTTGCACTGTAACAAGGACACCGTAAAACAAAGTGTAACCAACAAATGTTCTGGCCATCTGTTTGCGCGATCACTGCACACATTTGTCCTGCAATTGATTAATTGACAATCGTTAAGTTTATTCACTACAGTGTTAATGCTGATCAATCAATCACTCACTCACTCAACGGTCGGTCATTAACATCCCTCATGCGATTGCATTCAGTCTTTGTCATTGATTCCTTTAGAACAAAACACCGCTACTATTCTGATCTGGAGTTGTTTGCAACTCTATTTTAGAGATAAAATGGACCGTGTAATTGCAAAATTGATAACTTCTCTTATATAAGACCAAAAATCACACTCATAATCTCTTGTTCTGAATATAATCATGGCTGTCTGTCTACGGAAAGTCCAGGCAAGCGTTAAAAAGTTAATAGAAACTAGGGCTGTGCAATATATTGAAATTATCGAAATATCGCAAATGTACATATCGCAATATGCATATCGCTACAGCTTGCAATATTTGGGGCCATGAACAAAAGACAAAGAAAATCACTCACTGCTCTTACCTAAATAACTTGTAGCTTAAATAAGAATCAGTGCATATTGAATTCAAAGAGGAAATAATATGCAGTGTTTTATTTTTCCTTTATTATTCAGTTCCTAAGCTCATGTTAAAATGACATTTTAAACACTTTCAGAAGTTGTTGTAGGGGTGCTTTCTTATCAGAATGAGCTTTATTCACCACTAAGTGTGCGCAAACACAAGAAATCTCCTGTTGTGGTTTTACAGGAACTCTTGGTACATGCATACAAATAACCATATATATATATATATGACACAAGATAGTTATAGAAGTTCACAGAACTGACTCAGCAACAGCGGAGTAAAACTGTTTCATCTGAGCATGTGGCACTTTAAGCATCATCGTATCGAATATCGCATTATTTAATGAGTTGTCGCATATGTCTTCAATATCGCACAGCCCTACTAGAAACTATGAATCTAGTCTGCCGAGGAGACACGATGACTTTATATAATGAACAGACTCTCTGAGCTTGTCTTCACACAGAAACATTGATCAACACATCAAACATGGTCAGCGTTGGCTTGACACGCGGGAATCAGTGAGGTTTTGTTTCTCTCGTTCCCTCACAAAACAAAAACCTTTTCCGGGGACTCTTGAAGCAGCTTCAGATTTCAGCCCATTAAACACAGTTATTCATGTAGTTATGAAGATGCGTGTAAATCCCCAGTCTTGTGCCATGCTCCGGTGAACCGCGGAGGCAGTTCAGGGTTAAAGACGTGTGACTCGGTCTTCTGCTGCTCGCTCAACCCAGACATCACACACCAAATTAACCCCATAAAGCCCACTCTGTCATATGTGATGCATGCATTTCTGTCTGAGGCCTCGAAATGATCAACATGATCAAAACTTGGCTAAAAAACCTGCTGTACGCAATCTACTACATGCCTTCTTAAAGATAGTTCACACGTTTTTAGCCAGTAAAAAACCCTTAAGTTTAACTGTACAAATATTAAAAATATCAAATATGATTGAGGAACATTTATTTGTTAATCTCTCAATCATCATAGTATTGCATTGCCCCCACAATAAAATTGATATTCATAAAAACAGACCTTTATATCATTGTGTAAATAGTCTATTATACGGTTAAAAAATGTCATTGATTTGCATTAAAAACTGTCAGCATTTCATCTTCCTTTTTGGCCATATAAATGACTACATCTGCACCAAACATCTGCGTATTTTGCTCAGTTTGGACCTTGTCGTCGTCTTGAGTATAGCTCCATATTTCTCACTGTCATACTATAATAAAAAATTATCTATCTTATCTATTATCTATATATATGGGTTATAAAAGCCATATATGATGCATCAAATATGATACAAAACATATATGCAAGGTCATATGTATATAAAATATATTACATTGTCTGTTTCTGTTATTATTTCATATGTCAGACTTTACAGGGTTAAAATGTGAGTTTCCCTGGCCTTCCCACAGGACAAGCTGTTATGTAATGCTCTAGAGGAACAGTCAGTTCTTTATCTTCTGCCTGTTGTCTAATATGAGTAAATCTGAAATGGCAGACAGCGTGTAGAGAGAGCGTCATATCAGTCTCATGTGTTTGCAGAATCAAAGCCATCGAGAGCGCGACCAAAGAGGACGACACCAAATGGCTGACCTACTGGGTGGTTTACGGCGTGTTCAGCGTCGCCGAGTTCTTCGCTGACATTTTCCTCTCCTGGTTCCCCTTCTACTTCCTGGGAAAGGTATTATACAGTATAGAGCATTGTAGTAGCTGCATTTTGTTGTAATAACATATTAATGCTCTTATTATTAATCAGCATCATAATAGTTAATGCTAATGAAAAAGCCAACTTACTGAAATCCTATTTAAACTTCTTCTTCTGAGACTAAATTTGAAAATGTATCTCCTCCTAGACTTTTGAAGCTACAACCACCCAACCCGGGTCAGACCTCCAGACTGGTGTGACTCGGGTTGCTATATCTTTTCTAACTGATCCGGCTTAGTTCTCGTAAACCAGACTATCAAAACCACCTAAAATCCCATAGACTTTCATTGAGGGGGTGAACACTTTTATACAATAAGATAGGGCTGTCGCAATTCGTCGATTTTATTCGACTATTCGATTTCTTTAAAATCCTCGACTTCATTTTGCTCGCGTCGACTAACCGGCAAAATACCGGAAGTGGCGCGTTTCACGGACGAGAATCCATAAAACACATTATTAGTCTGTTTCCCGCATATTCTTTTAATTACGGTGGCTACAGCATTCTGTCCTAAAGAAATGGCCAAAAAGATTAAGTGGATATTTGAATTAAATGGCGCTTGGTCTATATTAAACAAGGATTAGATCGCACAGTAATGTGTAAAAACAATCATCAGGCCGTTGGCGCCCCCTGCAGGTCTTTGTTGTAATGCGTACTGTACATTAACTATTGTTTATAATACATTATGTACTTTAACAGTTTTGTTCAATAAAACAATGATTTCTTTTAGATCGCACAGTAATGTGTAAAAACAATCATCAGGCCGTTGGCGCCCCCTGCAGGTCTTTGTAATGCGTACTGTACATTAGCTCTATTGTTTATAATACATTATGTACTTTAACCGTTTTGTTCAATAAAACAATCATTTCTTGCTTTTGACACTTTATTTCAACTAATTATTGCCTCATTGCTATTATATATGTATTTTAAGTAATTTTAAAGGCTATTGTTCACTTAAATTGTAAAAAAATAATTATAATTATAGGGCCCTATGAAATCAGTTTTATTTTCAAATTCATTTTTTTCCATTTTCATTTTTCTATAGTCTGTTTTAATGGTTAAATTAAATTTTATTAATCAAAAAGCCGGTCTAATTAATTGAGTTTTACAGTTTTACCAAATTCTGTTTCTGTTTTCCGTTATTTTCTGGATTCCATTTTAATGGTTCCATTAAATTTTAATAATCAAAAGCATCTTGATTTTATTAGAAAAAGTTATTTTTTTCAGAAATTCTGCACATTTATATTTTTCTCCTAAATAAATTCTGGTAAATAATATTTCTGGTAAATACTCCTTTAAAAAGTGTTTTTTGATTATAATTGTATTATTAGTAGACTAGAACACATGGATATGTTGTCATTCTTACACTATAATACTGAACTTTGATTTCAGTTGGACTATGAGATAGGGTTGTGACGGTGAGGAAATTTTCCCACCGGTTAATCGACGTGTGACAATACCGGTATCACCGTGGGGGCAGGGGCGTTCCCTCTTTTCCTCGCTTTCCTTC